TGGACTTGCTGGGTCCTTTGTTGTCTCTTGTTATAGCCTTTGTTTTAAAGTATGTTTTGTCTGGTATAAGTATTGCTACCTCAGCTTTCGTTTGTTTGTATCCATTTTCATGAAATATCTTGTTCCATCCTTTCAATTTCAGTTTTATGCGTCTTGTCTTTCGTTTTGAAGTGGGTCTTTTGTAGGCAGCATATGTAAGGATCTTGTTTTGTTATCCATTCAGCCACCATATATCTTTTGATTGGAGCATTTAATCCATTTGCATTTAAAGTAATTGTTGATAGGTTTTTATTGTCATTTTATTATTCATATTTTTATCCTTTTTTCTTTCTTCCTCTTATAGAAGACCCTTTAATATTTCATGTAATATTAGTTTGGTAGTGGTGAACTCCTTTACCTTTTTCTTGTCTGAGCAGCTCTTTATCTGTCCTTTGATTCTAAATGATAGCCTTGCTGGGTAGAGTAATTTTGGTTTTAGGTCCTTGCTTTTCATCACTTTAAATATTTCGTGCTAATCCCCTCTGGCCTGTAAAGTTGCTGTTGAGGAATCAGCTAACAGTCTTATGGGAGCTGTCTTGTAAGTAACTAACTGCTTTTCTCTTGCTGCTTTTAAGACTCTCTTTGTCTTAATCTTTGGCATTCTAATTATGATGTGACCTGGTGTGGGCCTCTTTGGGTTTAGCTTGTTTTGAACCCTCTGTGCTTCCTGGACTTACATGTCTGTTTCCTTCACCAGGTTAGGGAAATTTTCCATCTTTTTTTTTTAAGAGGTTTTCAATTCCTTACTCTCTCTCTCTTCTCCTCCTGGCACCCCCATGATGTGAATGTTTGAAGTTGTCCCCAGAGGCTCCTTACATTGTTCCCTTTTGGGGGGGGGGGTGTTTGTTTTTAATATTTTTATTGATTTTTAAAGAGAGGGGAAGGGAGAGGGAGAGAGAAAGAGAAACATCGATGTGAGAGCAGAACATCGATCTGCTGCCTCCTGCATGCTCTCTCCCAGGGACCAAGCCAGCATCCTGGACATGTGCCCTGACTGGGAATTGAACCAGCAACATTTTGGTATACGGGACAATGACTAACCAACTGAGCCACACTGGCCAGGGCCTCTTTTTGGAGGGGATTCTTTTTTCTTTTTGCTGCTCTGATTGGGGTTTTCCGATTCTTTGGCTTCCAAATTGCTGATTTGATCCTCTCTTTCATCTACTCTACTGTTGATTTCAGCTTAGTGTATCCTTCATTTCTGACTGATTCTTTTTTATGTTTTCGATCTCCATTATTATGTTAACTCTTTGTTGAGGTTCTCACTAAGTTCATCTATTCTTCCTCTAAGTTCATTGAGCATCCTTATAACCAGTGTTTTGAACTCTGCATCTGATAGATTGCTTCTCTCCATTTTATGTATTTCTTTTCTGGAGTTTTTCCCCTCTTCTTTCATTTGGGACATGTTTCTTTGTCTCTCATTATGGCTGTCTTGCTGTGTTTGTTTCTATGTATTAGATAGAGCTGCTATGTCTTCCAATCTTGGTAAAGTGGCCTATGGGCTCTGTAGGTATCCTGTATGCCCAATGGTGTAGCCTTCTTGGTCACCCAAGGTAGGTATTCCATTTGTGCCCCCCAGCCCCCCATCCCATGTGGGCTGTATGCATGCTCCTGTTGTAGTTGAGCCTTGATTGCTGCTGGCATGCCACAGAGAAGGGCTCACTTCAGCAGAGCTCTGGTTCCCAATGAGTCCTCCCGTTTGGAGTCTGCCCCTTGAATGTGTCGCTCATGGAGGTGGTTGGGTGGTACTTCAACATGGTCTGAAGCTGTCCACCAGGTGTGCTGGCTCTGGTCTCCCAAGAGGTGCAGGCCAAGGTCAGCCACTTCCTGTGCCCTGCCTGGAGCCCCCTGGCATGAGCTACAAAGCGATCTGCAGATGGCTGCTACATGGTGCTGGGCTTGGAGGTACCCAGGTAAGGCCAAACTATGAGCTGAGGCTGGCTGCCAGCATGCCAGGTCTGGGCTATTTAGCAAGAGTTTTGGGGCACTCCAAAGCCAAATGCTGCATATTTGGGGTTTGTGAACCTTTGAGAGATTTTAAGAAAGTCTGTAGCATATGAACCGAGACAGGCCATTTGTATGGAAAAGCCACTGGAATTGGCTTGGTGGGCCCGCAAGTTGGGTGGGGCATGGTCTCACCAGGACAGGGGTAGCAGTGTTAGGTAGGTTAATAGAGACTCAGACATGGTGCCCTCCTGCCAGCTCTGTAGGGGGAGGGCTCAGCAAAGGAACAGTGGCTTCTGCCAGGAGTTCTGTCTGGGAGAAAGCTGCCCTTCCAACCCTTCCCCCAGACAGTTCAGTTTCTCCCTAGATGTTTCTGGCACCTTTCCAGCTGCTGCCCCAGTGCTGCATGAACACAGGAATTTCTTATACCATCTACTTTTATGTTTAAGATTTCAATAATAATAATAATGATAAATGTATTTGCATGTTAAAAATCATTGTTCTTGATTATGAAAATGCTTATTGAAGGTGTTTCTCTAGGAAGAGTGTTCTGGCCCTGAGGATTTACTATGGAGACTTTAGAGGTTACTGTAGTAATTTCAAAGTAATGATGAATGTACTTGGAGGAGGAATGAAGATAAATGATGATAAATCCCCTGTTTTGTTTATTTGCTTAAAATAAGTCAAAGGCATTTTAGACATCTTATATTTGCTGCTGGGAGACACATCAGGTTATGGGGCATTAAATAATATTTGGAGAGCTGCATTCAGTATTGTATGTGTGTGCTGAGGAGGGAGGTGGGTTTGTAAAGGAATTACCAGGAGGTACCTTCAGAGCTAGAGGAGGGAACATTGTGTTGTTGATTAGTGGACAAAGTGCTGTTCACAGAATTACAAAATGTGACTTCAAGTCACTGAACCTCCCTGGCCTTCAGAATTCATAATCTCTCACACTGAACATTTTTCCTCCCTCTACCCTTTTTTTTAATTACAGTATTGTTTTAAAATAGTAGTTTCCAAAGTGGGGCGTCTGCATCAAAATCTCTTGTGAATGTGTCAGTGTGTGTGTGTGAGGGGGGCGGGGGGTGGTCAGAAATGCCCAAATCTATAGAATGATTTTCTGGCAGCAAGTGCCTGGGAATCAGCATTTAACAAATAACCCCAGATGAACCTATGAACAATGGAGTTTGACAAGAACAGATTTATAGGCTATCATGGTTCTTTTTCTTCTGATTGCCTCGAAATGCAATCAGTACTTAAATTTCTTCTAAGAATCTACGGTAAGGGATTTCAAAGCTTTTCTTTTCAAGAATGTTGTGATCAAATTCTTATCATGTGACGTTATTGTGCATAGATTTCAATTTTGTGGTTGTACTAGTAGCTTATGTTTGTAATGCATAATTTAGAAAATAGAGACACAAAGAAGAAAAGATTATAAAAACCCATCATTCTTTAGCCTTACAAAAACAGTATTAAATAGGTTTGTTGCATATCCTTCCAGACTTTTTCTAATATGTATTCATATAAATATAATTATTTACCAAAATAGCCTATTTTATTAAATTTTTATTAGTTTTATTCTCATGTAATCTTAATCTTTATAGCCTATTTTTAAAACTCATTAACACATTATGCTCATCTTTCTATGTTAATAAATGTCCACCTACATCAACATTTTGAATGGCTGCATGACATTTCTTTGTATAAATGTACCAGACTTATTGCATCTGTTTCTTTCTGGCACTCTGTGATATTCACCTCTTTTTATTGTTTTCCCCATGGAAATAGGGACTATCCTTCTATATTTTTTTGTACATCTTCAGTATAAAGTTTCTAGAAATGAAATTGCTTAGTCATTTGATAAAAGTGCACAGTGAATCCATGTTCACTGTAGGAAAAATAATGACACAGGGAAAAGTTAAAATCATCATAGCTTTCAGATAATTTTTCTGTTTTTGTGTGAAAATATATTAACATGTTTTAATAGGATTATACCACACAGAGAATTTTAATATCTGCTTTTCTCATTTAACCATATATTGTAAATATCTTCCCATGTTAGCCATATTGAAAATTCTGTGATGAACCTATATACATTAATTGCATAATACTTCATCCAATTTTTCTGCTTCAGTCAGAAAAAAATATTAAGTACCTAACATACACAAAAGCAATCTGGTAGATGTGGTGAGAGAAAAAAAATTGATTAGAATTATTTGGTGTCCTTAAAATATTTACAGACTAGAGGGGATTCTAACGCGGTCACACAAATCACCCAGTACCTTGTGTTATAGATCCTGTAAGAGGGTATGAAGGATGGGCTATGAGAGTTCAGAGAAAGACAAGTTATTTTTCTTTAGGCAAGTGAGGGAAGGCTCAGAAGAGGACATGATGGGGGAGGCGGGGCTTGACCATGTGGAGGTGGGGAAGAGGAGCATGCCAGGTGGAAGAAGAGCATATCGGAAGTAGTTCCATCTACTGGGATGCAGTCCCCATCCCAGAAAGAACCACAGGCACAGAGGGAAGTACACGTGGAGAGGTACCTTGGTGCCAGGTTGCAGATGATCTAGAATATCTGGCTCTGTGTTTCCTGAGTGATGGGGAACTTTTTAGGTTTCGTTTTAGATGAGGTAAGGATGGGATTTGAGCTGAGCGGGAGTGTTGCTCTCAGCGGCATGCGGGAGGGGGGGGGAAAGGAGGAAGATGGACTGTCAGGATGCTACGCTGGTGGCCCAGCTTAAGGCTAGGTGTAGCAGCCTGAGCAGAGAGAATGACAAGCTTCGGATACGCTAATAAAGGAAAAGATTTAGAGTCAAGAAGGCCTTGGGGTTTTGCGTGTGGGTGGCTTGGATATAGTTCCACTTATGCAAAAAGAAATTGCGGGGTGTGGGAGGGGGCAGGGGGTGGAGCACTTAAGAAAATGATGAGTTGCAAGAATCTTTTTATTTTTCGACCATTTAGCCCATTTTGTTTGGTTCCAGAATTACACACTTCTCCACCCTTCTCCTTCCTGACAGGAAGTAATTTGGAATACACCTGTAGGTGTGGAGGCCTACAGTCAGGAGGACCGTTAAATACGCAGACATCCCGACATGGACGGGAGGTGGGGTTCACAGAAGGAGAGCCCGTCTGCAGCCAGGACACCTTCCCCGCTCAGGAAAGCACGCTGTCTGCAGTGAACCTGACAGATGACCAAATAGCTGCTGGCCTCTACGGTAACCTTCCTCCCGCCCAGTCCTTCCCAGCGTCAGCCTTCCAGGCCGGCGGCGCCCACGTTCCAACCTGATGTCCCTGTGCCTTATAAACTCACCTGGAGGCAGACCTAGCAGAGCTTTAGGATTACTCAAGAAAGAGCTCTGTGGTCCCTTTAAGAAAACTCACCTGATATTATGAAGTAGAAAATATTTTAAACAGCGTTTCACTCTTTCACAGTCTGGAAGGCATATATTTTCCCCAGGTTATTTCAGCTGAAGAAAAGTTATAATAATAACCCTTATTTTAGTGCCTCAGTGGTTTTTGAAGATCAAATGAGACACGACATCACTTTATAAACAGTGAAGTCTGATACACACGCTAGTTGTCGCTGCTTTTGTTATGTCTGGAAGTACTAATGGTTTTTCTTTTCCATAAAGAACATTATTAAATGGAACTTTGAATTTTTTTTTTTTTGCATGCACACAGTTTTCCAATGAGTTGTGCAGGTTTCTCATATATACATGCCAAGATCTGTATTTACATGAATGAGGGGGGGGGGAACTAAATGTACGTGAAGAAAGATTACCTGTTTACTGAACTTGTATGGGTATGAGTTACGTAAATTTTTATCGCCTTGATTTATGTTTTCACAGTATGTGCAAGTAATGAAAGTACGCTGAAGTCCATCATGAAGAAGAAAGATGGCAACAGAGATTCGAATGGAGCGAAAAAGAATCTCCAGTTTGTTGGCATTAATGGAGGGTAAGGAAAGATGGTGGTGCCGGCATTTACACGTGGTCTTTCTGTCTCCTTTGCCTCCTGCCTACTCGAGTTATATTCAAAGGCTCCCAGCCTGGGATGCTGCCGCGTCTTGGTGATGGAAGACTCCCTCCTAAGAAAGGGGCCCTCGGGCTTCTCTCCTCTCCCCCTCTTGCTATCTTTTAAGGATATGTCACTCTTGAAAGGATACCTGATGAAGCTGAGCCATCTTCTCACCTTTGACCTGAAAAAAAAGAATAGTCTTCAAACAAAAGCAGCAGGTTTCCTGCACTGTTGGACACCTTGTACTTACCCGTATCTGAACTCAGACACAAACAGAAAGAGACTGAGGGCGTCACTCCGTGGCCAGCGACAGTCGCCCACTCCTTCAAAAGGGGTTGTTTTTGCTTGGCGCTCCGTGTTTGCAGACAAAATTGTAGGGCCTTGCCCCTGAAGAGCAAACCAGTCCTGCCGTCAGTTCTTTGCTTTCTCAATAGAATGTTTACTACTTGTTTGTTCCTTCTCTTCTAATTGGCACAAGTAAATAGCTAAGCCTGTTTGTCTTCCGACCATTAAATCAAATCAATCTATATTGAAAGGATAGAAAAAATGAACAACTGCAGACCTAGTTCTTATATGATAAAGTTTCCTGTGTTTTATACTAAGCAAGAGGTGCTCTCTATCTATAATAATGAAAGTGTAATATGCTAATGAGACAGGACTTCCGAACGGCCTTCCAGACAAAGCCAGGGCTGCGAGGGCCGAAGCCCCTTGCACGAATTTCGTGCATCAGGCCTCT